TAATTATATATTATATTTTTTATATTTTATTTTTGTATAAATAAAATATATATATATCAATCAACTTTTCCATATATATATATATGACAAAACTAGAAATAATACAATGTAAATAAAATGATTTTAATAACAATGTAGATAAGAAATTCTTAAAAGAAACAAGACTAAATGTAAACAAAATGTCAATTTAATAACAATACACATGAGAAATTATAAATAAGAAAAAAAAATTAAATAGTTTTTTTCTTACTATGCCTTTTATTGTTTTCAATTTGTGACCTGTAAATGCTGTGTGTTTTATAATCCATCTTACTGACTAACCTCTGTAGGTCCAGCATTTAGCAGCATAAGTCTCAGCTTCTGTGGTGTTGTGCTGGTGAAATAGATGTCAAAGGATTTATTGGTGGCAACAATGGCGTGGAATAAAGATACTCGCTTCTGACACGTGTAGCCAGCGCACCAGCCGTGGTCTTGTGGGCCTGTGACAAGATATTCACAGTAAGTTTATAAAAATCATTAATACACACCTTTTGCTTGCGGTAGATGTTAAATTAGCAGTACGAGGGGAGTTATGAGTCATACCATTTATCAAATCCACATATTTGTCCCCCAGGATGGCTACAGGTGAAAGACGCCTGGTTTCTGTGTCTGCATCCAGACTTTCTATGACCAGCATTCTGTAGTTGAGCCCAAAACACTTGTAGCTCTGCCAGGTGCTCATGTACGTACAAGTGTTTCTGATCACACCTGCACAGGGAAACCAGCAACGTCAATGCTAGAAGCAACTCCATCATTCTAAGCACTCTCTCTTAGAGCAGCATAAATAATCAATTGTCCTCAGATGTACCTTTGTAAGGAGCGATTTGATTCACAGGTATCCGGCTGCCATTGAGATAGGTGAGCATGACTTTGGGGATGCGGTAATCGCCCAGTCCGTGCCGGGGATCCCCGTCCCACTCGTACTCAGACTGGGGCACCACTGCTCCCACGGCACCCAGGAAACTGCCATCCAGATCCTTCAAAATAGTCTTCTTCTTAGCATCACAGTCCATGTCCACACAGTCCGCAGGGTTCACCTTGCTGATATAAAAGAGAAAGAAAGAAATCAGCCACTTTTATCTTAAAGCAATGTTATGTGCACATTTTAAGTTAAACTGTAAGTCTTTAATATTTTGGTAAAATATCATGCCGCCTTAATGATTTTTCGTCATCCCAGGACCCAATCAGTTTAATAAAGCATTATACACAGCAAATCGTCATATTAGAATGATTTCTGAAGGATCATGTGACACCGAAGACTGGCGTAATGGCTTCTGAAAATTCAGCTTTGCGGATCCCCGTCCCACTCGTACTCAGACTGGGGCACCACTGCTCCCACGGCACCCAGGAAACTGCCATCCAGATCCTTCAAAATAGTCTTCTTCTTAGCATCACAGTCCATGTCCACACAGTCCGCAGGGTTCACCTTGCTGATATAAAAGAGAAAGAAAGAAATCAGCCACTTTTATCTTAAAGCAATGTTATGTGCACATTTTAAGTTAAACTGTAAGTCTTTAATATTTTGGTAAAATATCATGCCGCCTTAATGATTTTTCGTCATCCCAGGACCCAATCAGTTTAATAAAGCATTATACACAGCAAATCGTCATATTAGAATGATTTCTGAAGGATCATGTGACACCGAAGACTGGCGTAATGGCTTCTGAAAATTCAGCTTTGCCATCACAGGAATAAATAACATTTTAAAATATATTAAAATAGAAAAAAATTACTTTTTTCATTGTAATATTTCTAGTGCTGTCAAACGATTAATCGCATCCAAAATAAAAGTTTTTGTTTCCATAATATATGTGTGTTCTGTGTATATTTATTATGTAAATATAAAGACACACACATACAGTATATATTTTGAAAATATTTACATTTATTGTATAAATATATTTAATATATAAACATAGCATATTTTTCTGAAATATATACATGCATGTGTGTGTATTTATATATACACATAATAAATATACACAGTACACGCATGTTATGGAAACAAAAACTTTTATTTTGGATGCGATTAATCGTTTGACAGCACTAAATATTTCATAATATTACTGTTTTTATTGTATTTTTGATCAAACAAATGCAATCTTGGTGAGCATAAAACACTTCTTTCAAAAACATTAAATAAAAAAAACTTTATTATTCCAAAATTTTGACGACTAACATATAGAATAGATTATATTAGAATATTATAAAATAATATAAATAATAATATAAAGATTAATGATCACAAATTTCATATTTTTGGGGACAATTTTTATATTCAAGGGTACCAATGAGCAATTCTGAGTTAGAGAAAACCTATATATATATTGCGCACTGCTAGTTATGTTCAGTTTACCCCAGATCAGGCCGATGAATGAATGCTAGAGAGTCCTCTGTGCTGTTTATCTTGGAAATCCTCTCAACATTGATTGGATGTTGTAGATCCTCATTTCCCAGGTTGGTCATGAACATGTAATTTCTCTCTGTTGAGCACACACTCTTGAACCCAACAAAAGTTGTGTCTGGAGTCAGAAAGAGAAAACGGTAATTACTTTTTATAGGAGATCTTCGTCGACTGTAGAAGGTTTTAAACTGGAGATTCATTCACATTTCGAGACTCACCAGAGACCGTCATTATACCAGCTATGGCGTTGTAGCTCATCAGTCCAGTGAGAGGTTTTTGTGGTCCATTGTTATGGTTTGATTCGAACGTCGGCCAGCAAATTCCAGACCTGCCACCTGTTGAACATACAAATGCAGTTAGAATTAGTTCAGAAAATGGATCAGTTATATTAAATTTATTCAGTAGTGAATGGATGATTCTATAATATGTATTGTACCATTAGGAGGACGTGGGGCCTTGTGACTTCTGCTGAGTGCAACATACGTCATAGTTGTGGATAGACTGTCAAAACAGTTGAAGTTGGGGCTACTGCCTACAATCAGGGCACCCTGGAGTGATGTTTTAAAAAAATATATTACTAAAAGAATGCTTTCTTAATTTTGACCGAAGAGACATATAGTGCTTCCTCACCTGTACACGGACTGTTTTGTCAGAGTATGCGTGGCTGAGCGAGGAAGGACTGTAGATTAGAGACATGATTCCCATTCCGTTATCTATCAGGCTTACGTTGGAAATTAACACATTCATGGATACCTGGAGGTGAGGAGAGAACATTACTTAAAAACAATAATCACCAGACCAGCATAATGCATTTGTATAACTAGCAATTATGGTAGGAAGTTTGTGGATCATTTATCATACTTGGACATAAATGCCAAAATCAAAGCTTCTCCAGACAGTGAATCCCTGGATTTGAGAGCAACCAGGAAGTCCATCTTTATTCATGTAGAGTCCATACAGACCACCGTGTGCCTCATTTTGACTCCACTGTGCCACTGAATTTGGAGATCCTTTTGACATTGTTGAAATAATTGAATCAGTAAATACTGAACGTGAAAGGTTCATATTAGTGATGCACAAGATATTGGTATTGGTATGATATTCAGTCAATGTTAAACGTTTTGCTTACGCAATTATATCTGCGTTTTGCTTACGCAATTATATCTGCTAATAGAGTATATGTAACTGTGCATGCTTTTTCCATCATTTCATACTATACATACTATATCTAGACTAACACAGTATCTAATAACACTTAAATGTAATCTGTCAAAATAATTTTTTCATGCTGTACATTACAATTATGATGTAGCAATTAAAACAATTTTAGTTTTAAGTGTTTATTTTTTTATTTAGACAAAATAGTATAGAATTTAAATATCTGCCATTTTTTGGTAATTGGTCATAACATACAGAAATGATCAGCTTATCGGTATCAGCCAGAACTTTTAAATTGTGTATTCATAATGAATACTAAACAAGTATTTAAGCCTTGGAATTAACACCGTAGAATGAACACTGTCACTGTCTATCAAAGTATTCAATTAATTTCCTCTTTTAAAACAAAGTTTTATATACCTGGACATGGTTCTCCATCAATTCGGTATCCCACTCGTTCATAGCCAGCAACAATATTCCCTTGAAGAATCACATTGGTTGCCTCACTCACCTAGAAAACGAACAATAATGCATCAATTCTTTATCTGGTATTTACTGATGATTATATGGCAAATAGGTTTCTCTCTATTGCCACTAACAAAAAAGTACTGTGGAGTTTTAGACATATACCATGATAATGCTATGTTTTTTTGGACATGTACCATGGTATTCTTGAATCACCATCTAAATAACATGGTAAATGTATATGTAATCATTCTGTATTGTTATAAAACAAAGTACCATGGTATTACCATCTGATCACAGTACTTTTCTGTAAAGGGTACCTCAATGGCTGCATTCCATTCAAAGTTGAATTCCTCCGCTCTGCCGTTATACGATCCAGACCACAGTGTCATTGTAACCAAGTTCCTCTGGACCACATTTCTGTCACCCCAGACTCTGATTCCTGGAAAATTCAAATAGAAATTGCAGAACAGAATAGTCATAATGCTAATTTAATATCACCCTGCTGCATAGCGATTACAATTTGTTTAATAGTATTTTCCTTTTGTGTTAACATTGAACAGTGAAGCTACCACTGAATCTGTACCTTCTCCAACCGTGTGATGGATCACGTTGTCTTCAATACTCAGTCCATCTGTCCTGAAAACACCAATAGCAGGAGCAAAGCCGTTGTGGAAAGCACATCCCTTGATGTAAGATTCACCAACCACCTAAAAATATAGTGACAACAAGTAATTGACAGGAATATGTGTGAATGTGATAAAGAATGGGCATGTACTGATTAAGACTTTCTCTCACCCCTCCTAATTTATAAAACACCAGAGAGTATCGTGGGTCTGACAGGTCGTTCCATCCCTCCTGCCCGGTGTGGTAGAACTGAACATTTCTGATCTGGGCTTTTCCTGTGATATAAGTATCATCAGCAGTTTTTGTTACTTACAATGTGCTGGAAAGGTCTGATTAGCAAGTGATGCTATGTGCAAATACAGAAATATTATATTAACATGAACTTCTTTAAAAATAATTGCTCGGAAGATTTTTTTATTTAAAACAACAAAACATTATTTTTATTTTCATTATTCATTTTTTCTTCCAGGTGAATGGGCCTTATGGTTTTGTGTAGCCTATAATTTGTGTAGCCTATAATTTGAAGTTTATACCTCTGAAATCGATTCCTCCACTGAAGAAGGTTCCCACCAGAACTCTGGCTCCATAAGACTGTGTGTTCATTTCTGGATACTCCTGACCGATGATCTTGATGTTCCTGGTCAGTAAAGCCACATTGCCTGCAAGCTGATAACTTCTTGAAGTACCTGGCACACTGTAGCTCTCCCCTATATGACCAGATACATTTAATATGAAATCTAATGCATTTATTTAATACAATTATTTAATTATATACTACCATTCAAAACTTTGGGGTCAATGAGATCTTTTTTAAATTAAAGTAATACTTTTACTCAGCAAGGATGCATTAAATTGATAATAAAGTGACAGTAAAAACATAAAATTTTACAAAATGTTTTTATTTTAATTAAACGTTGTTTCTTTAAACTTTATTGATGAAAGAATCCTGGAAAAAGTGTATGGTGTGCGTAAAAAATTAAGCAGCACAACTGTTTTCAAACATTGATGATAAGAAATCAGCATCTTAGAATGATTTCTGAAGAAAATTTTTATCATGACAGAAATATATAACATTTAAAAAATATATTAAAATGGAAAACCAATATTTTAAATTGTAATGATATTTCACACTGTTTTACTGTGTTTCTGATTAAATAAATGCAGCCTTGGTGAGCATAAGACTAAAATGTAAAATGTAAAAATATCTAACCAACCCTAGCTTCTGAACAATATTTAACAGCTTATCAATACAGCACAATGTCTATTATTGCTATAATGGATCTAGGGGGACTAACCAATGTGTGTGTATGATAAAGGCTGGTCCAGAGTCAGTGTGCGGCCATAATCTGTGACCGCAGTGATGGTGCGGATTTCTGTCTGCCAAGGGTCATAGCTGGTGGTGGACAGCAGAATCTTATCCCCAACCTGAAGGTAATAAAAGAGTGTTTTTATTCAGACAAAGAGGATTCGGAGCACAAACAGAGCTTGGAATCTAAATGGCATCTGCAAATCACACAAGCAGGTTCAATAGTTTTCTAAATCTCTCTGTTCTGTTTTTTTTTGTGTCATTTTTAAAAAGCTTCTGACCTTCCAGTCCACAGATTCCTGTAGTGAGATAGTGCTGTTTCCTGCTTGGGACGTGCTAGCAAGCTTAGTGTGATACACATTGTGTGGCATGCCATACAGGTCAAGAGATCCAAACACACCTAAAAGACAAGGTTTCTGCTGAAATCAACACTTTTAAATTGGCAGACGATTAATAGGAACATCTCTAATGCAAATATGTTCTATAATAATATCCATCTTTTATTTATATTAATTTACCCAGAACTTTGGACCCTTGGTTTAGTCCAGATGGCAATAGCCAGTCTGGTGTGGAATGGCTTCCTCTCAGTATGATCTGTAGTTGACCTCTGAAGGGTTCATCAGGCCAGCCAGCAATCAGACGTCCACCCTGATTGAGTGAACGTGTACAGAGAGAGTTGAACAGAATTAACTAAATGAGTACACATGAAGAGTCTGGTTCTACTTGGTGTAATGATCCTAATATGTCTATGCCAATTTGAATGTAGTTATGTACTTACTTGAATGGAGATATATGTGGCATTCAGAACAATGTTGTTGTATTGAGATACACTGCCGGAGGAGGTGCCATTGTTTGTGTCTGGAATCTCCAGAACTCCAACTATTTTCAGCTTGTTCAGGGAGGGCACAACAACATCCACAACCATCCAAATGCCTTTGAGACAGAATGAGATATTTTGATTTTTTTTGGCCACTATAGGATTTCATGAAAGTGACATACCATATTGTTTAATAGCTTTTCCTTTCTGTCTTTGCTTGGGATTTGTGACATTAGAGCTGCTTACCAGCTGGAATATTCACATCAGAGCCATCTTGTGGCACATTGAAGTTGTTCACTGAGCTTGACCTCCAAAATGATGTATTTGACCAGAGACTAAACCAACAGGATATGTTTTATTAGCAAAGTAAACAGATACAATACATTAGTATTATTATTACTGATGTGTGTGGTAACATACACATAGTTTGCAGGTCTGCGGCCAGTTGTGTTGGATGTATTGGCTACAGAACCAGGGAAAGGTTGGATACAGTTGGGATAGTAACACTGATACACTCTGAAGTCTAGCGATCTGTCTACAACCGAGCGGTCCACACTGTTCCTCTTCCTCCGGCTAACAACACGGTCTCTTCCAGACACTGTAGACACAAAATTCAAAATCTTTCATTCTTTGCACAGTACTACTACTGAAACAAATAGAATAAGATAGAATAGAAAGATAGCATAGATGTCTTGGGTGAAGAGATGAGAAGTTTTACCCATGTAATAGAGGTCTTTGGATGTCCGGTTGAAGTACCAATCCCCATTTACATTCGCAGTGGGATTCAGGGGCTGGGAGGAGCCATTCCTGTCGTCTATGATGCGGAACCGGTCAGGTGTCTGGGTCAGGTTGTGGTTGATAATTACATAATGTTCTGGCTGTCATTAAGAAAGAGACATATTAACATGTTATATATTGCACAAATTGTAAATTTAGCATTTAAGTCTTTTGGAGTCATACAATAAGTCTGGGGTTTACAAACTGAGGAAAGTAAATGTAAACTTAAAATATCAAAATCATTAAAAAAATTTAATATTATAACAATATAAACTGCGATCATTTTTAACATGCTTTATTGGAACAATAGTTATTCTGAAAATCGAATTTAAAGAAAATGTTTCTCTTCAGGTGTATAACTCTAACATGACATAGTGGGTAGAAAATATAGATATTTTAATCATTTGCATTGGCTTCAGTACAGTGATGACATAAAAGCTAATTAATGTTACAAACAACATGCTATCCATAAAAAGTCAATTATATATTAGAAAAATAAAGTCTTTACACAGGTACATCAAAATATAGAGCATATTCTTTTTAATCCCAGGCATCAAAAAGTTTGAAAATGGAGTATGGAGTCCTTTTTGAAGTGTGACATGATCATTATGAACTGTTGTTGCATGACAACAGCTGTAAAGACTTTTTAAAAAAAACTCTCTTTTTTGTGTTACAACCATTATAAGGGTATTTAAATGTTGAACTTTTCCTTTAAATGTATATTGGATTATTGTGTAGTGTGCATACTTTACCCGAAAGCCGTAGACCATTCCATTGTATGAGATGTTGGTGATTTGGGAAGCACCATCAAAGTACCAGTTGTATGTTTGGCCTGTGGGCACCATTGCCATCCAGCCAAATGTGTGGGTCACCAGTTTTTTAAGGAAAGGAAGCACACATGTCCCTAAAGAGATATATGACATTGAGATGAACTGTGCCAACCAAGATGTTTTTCTAAACATCACAGCCCACTTCAACTTAAATAATGTTCCCTCAATGTTAGTGTACAAAATCTTTAGTTATTTTCAGTTTAGAATCATTTTAGAGGGCCAGTTCCTAACAATCTAGAACGCATTTTTGCATTCCACTGCTCTGCTCTTCCATTGTTTTTCTATGTAAACATGCACTAGATGGATGTTTTGGTCACTCAAATTAAAAGTAGTTGAACTATTAAAAAACATACTTTAGACTTTTTCATTCCCCTGCCCTGTGCTAAAACGTGTTATACGTGAACGGCCCAAAGAACCCTTCTTTCTGGAAACCAAAGAATGTAGCCGGGAAAGTATGCAGTAAAAGTGAGTTGTATAACAAATTCATACACATTTTTTCATAGCTCAATCGCCCAGTTTATTATTTCATCATACCATATGAGTTGGTTAGAATGACATCTTTAGACTGAAGTGAAGGCGGTGAGGGATTGACGACGACCATGCGGTGGAAGTTAACAGTGTTGTCACATACTGCAGCAGGAACGCCAACACTCCACTCTGTTCCTGGGAAGCAGCGTCTTGGGTCGAGCAAGTCATTCCTTGGTACCACCTTGTAGCTAACATTGCCTTTTCAGAAATATAAAATATTTATATTCAGTCATTTATTTTTTTATGTTACCAATGCTGTTTTGAGGTTGTCTGTACCATGCTAATAAAGCTATGTAAATCTTCAATCCGTTAAAATTTTTTCTCAAATTATGTATCTAAATACTGTAATATCTAATGCTTCTCTACCTGTTAGTGACCCATCAGTATCTACCAGCGCCACCTCATGCTCCCATCTGAACCAGGCCTTGTTGGGCGACTGATAGTACTGGATCCCACTGAATCTTGCACTCCAGCCTCCACAGCGGAGCATGCAGGTTCCAACTATTTCTGCCACCCCGACTGCAGCACACGACGGACGGTCGAAGTTCACAAACTTGGTGTTGATGACGCTCATCCCATCATCCAGAGGCAGGACAACACCACGAGCGGTGCAGTAGTTGCTCCCCAGTCCCAGCTCATCCACGTGGCCCACCATGGTGCTATTGACCACGGCTGCCCCTCCATCCAATCCCCATCCGCTGACGAACTGCCGGATGATCCTCTTTGCCTCCACTCCTGCCTTCTCGTTATTGACCATCAGGAACTCGCTGAACTGAACCGCTCCTACGTTCACCCACTCAGCACCTTTCTCGTTGTTCCAGGAAGTGAAGCGGCGGAAGACTGCTGGCGCCGGTGTTGAGGAGCTGCAGCTGCCGGTACGCATGGGGAAAAACTCTTGGAAGATCCACAAGCCAAACCAGCCCTGCGAATGCACAGTATTGTTAAAGAACTGTCCCAGTGGTACTCTCTTCTGACAGATGTAGGGGTTATACGAAGGGCCGTCGGGATTATCATGCATGCGATACCAGAAGCCGAAGTGCGTTCCACCAGCCGCGGCATTGTGCCTAATGGTGTTATTAGGGTTGGTGACCCAGTATGCAGCTGGAGTCACGTCGTCATTTAGTAAACTGGTGCTCTGTTTTACAAATACCGCCAGATTGTACTGCAGGATGTTGCCAGTCTCAATGCCGTCCTCAATAAAGAAGGCCCCACCCATGATATTGTAGATGACATTACGCTCCACCAGCAGGTTGTGGGTGTTATGGATGGTGACGGCACGATTGTAGGACTGGTGGATGCCACATCCACGCACATATGACTTAAACTTAACATCACCCATCAGATGCCAGTGGATTGGGTAGCGTCCCAGACGGAACGCCTGTCCAACATTGAAGAGCTAAAGTAGGACAATGACAAACATAATGCCATCACTGACAATTATTGTAAATATTTGATGTCTTAAAGGGGATAGTCCACTGAAAAATGAAAATTCTGTCATTTTTACTTAGCCTTCCAAACCTGTGTTACTTACTTTCTTCTGTGGAACACTAGAGAAGATATTTTGAAGAATGTTGGTAAACCAATGGTTTAGGTCCCTTTGACTTCCATTGTATGCACAAAAAATACTATAGAAATCAATGGGACCTGAAACTGGGACTACCTGAGACTACAAGAGCCTTTCACATGTCTTCCTTATGTCTTGTAGGCTCTTGTAGACCTGGAACTGTTGGTTACCAACATTCTTTAAAATATCTTCTCTTGTGTTCCATAGAACAAAAAAAGGCATATAGGTTTGGAATTACATGAGGAATGATGACAGAATTTACATTTTTGGGCGGACTATGCCTTTAAAGGTCTCCAAGAGTTTTGAAACATGTTTTTGAAACAGAATGAACATTTACCTCAACATATTCAATTCTGCCAATTGCCAGATTTTGGTTTGGTTGTGGTGCGTGGAACATGATGCAGCCACCAAACTGGTCGCTTCCTACTTCTTCTCCAAACCTACCCTGGAAACAAGTCTGTGTAGCAAATTCCCCTGTAAGCAAAAAAGTATATTGAGTTGTGTTCGATAAAAGTCAATAAAATTGACACTGACTTTCACATGACTTTTAAGAAATTATTAAGGAATTGTCATGATTGTGTGTATGAAATGATTATTTGTCTGTCTGTCTTTCCATTCACAGCTGAGGAAACAACATCCAAACCTGTGTTGAATCCATCAGGGCAAGCTTCAATCCGATCATTCCACTCCACGTTGTTGGATCCACGGACAACAATGTTTCTGGTAAGAAGACCGACCTCTGCTCTTGCTTCAAAAACTGTCCCATCAGGCAGCGTCACAGACACACCCAGATGAGTGAATTCCAGTGGTTCGGTCAGAGTGAGGGTCCTTCCATCAGCTGAAACTGAGGCAATTCTCCTCAACTCATTTTCTCTTTGGCTGTGTCTGTCAAAACAACATATTTTAGATTATTAGCAACAGTATTGACATCATTATTATTAGCATATTTGTATAGCATTTAGTACATACAATTTGAGCAAGAACTTAAACAGTAAGTTTACAATTTGGACCCACTTTATATTAAGTGGCCTTAACAACTATGTACTTACATTTAAATTAATAATTTGGTACAATGCACTTATTGTGTACATACGTGTTTTTACATTGTACTTATATTTGAAAAATACCTGCATGTAATTACATCTGTAATTAATTTCTGTAATTACATTTATAATTA